CCTCGGTGATCAAACGCCTGCACGAGTAACAAATCTTGTCAAGTTCTTCAGAGAGCCAAGCAAGTAGAAAACACAACTTACTTGAGGTATCAGGTTTCAGAATGGCCAAAATCATAAACACCGTAACAAGGTTATATTCACAACATGAGCATCTGCAAAACCCAATCTTATCTGTTTGATGGACCGGCGAAAATTAGCTGCGCCACATCAAAATCGTGGCCAAAAATCCCGGCCAAAGTATCAAAGGAAGGTTCCAAGATCTGAAATACACCGTGGGGAAAGCAACGTTACACATTGATATATGGCCATGGTACTGCCCTTGCGCGCTCTTGCGCCCGCCCTTGCGCGTTCTTGTGCGCACACCATGTTTTGAAGGTAATTTCGATCGTGACAATATGAATCAATCGCCTTTGTAGAGCAAAGTCAAGAGGAAGGGGGTTTAGATTCTAGATCAACCCTCTGTGGCGACGGACGACAGACGGAATGGGGCAGGTGCCAAACTGGAATTCTACAAGCTTCTGGCACTTGCCGCTGCCAGAGTCGAAAGGCTACTACCAAAAGCTGAAGCAGTGTTCTTGAAGCTATCACTTCAGGCCACTCTTGGGGCTTGGCAGGATCATGCTCGTAGTGCCGCGGGAAGGTCTGCTCTGGAAGCACCTTCGTTGCTCGAAGGAATCAAGAACATAAGGAAACTCCGGTCTCAAAGTCTCTGGCTTCCATTCCCTTGAGGTGCAGATGGCGCCATTTTGCAAGATCATCCGGAAAGGTTCCAGAAGCTGCCTGCGCGATGCTCGCAGGCTCGCAGTGTTCTGAGCAGGGCCCAAGGCCACGTGGCGAGGCTGCGATGCCTCGTTGCAATGATCTTCCAGGGCTGGCTGACCGCATTGTCGAAGGCGAACCTGATCCCCGAAAGCGCACGAAGCGGACGTCTCACCATCGATTTTTCCAATGAGGTTGTTGCAAACGGCAACATGCACAGAACTCCGAGATGGACCCCAAGCGCAGATTGGGAACTGTGCGGTCTCCCTCTCTAGCAACATCTACCACCTCGAACTCCACAATCAACAATCTCTGCAGACCAAGGAGGCCACGAAGCAGGCATTTCTAGTATACCGGACAGGAATTCGCCGATCGCCGAGATACCTTGGGGTCGCTCTAAAAGGACATTCTCACATGATCGCAGTACAAAGTAAAGCCTAATCGGGATGCAGAGGGAATGGACCCACCTGGACAGGTACTCGTGACACGAAGTTGCCTTTCCATGATGAGCTCAATGTAGTTGCCTTCGCACTGCATAAGTCAGCGCAAACACGGCACTATACGAGTTTCAACCACGACGAACCAAGGTAGCTGCAGTCGTGAGCCCAGTGCCTTCGCAGGACCTGCAATTGTCAGAAAATCATGCCTGTCCCTGAAGTTGAAGTGGAGGCGAGCGCACCCACCTTGTCGCCCTGTGGAAAATTGCACCGCGGCCAGTTCCTGAGCATCTCTCCGGCCAATGGAGTTGCCAGTCTGCATACCACAACCGGATCCTTGGCTCCAGCACGTAATCGTAGAAGTCGAAGTAATGTTGCATCAGCCTCGACCTTCACGCAGAACGACAAAACCTACTACTCGTAGCACGGCCTGACCACAGACTTCCCAGTGCGTACACGATGCCACTGACCACTGAGGCCTCGGCGGGCCTGCAGCAAAATGGTCACAGTAGGCCTGTCGCACTCTCACAAGTGCTGTGTGTAGGAAACGGCATTCCGGTAGGTGGGAAGTCCTGCCTGCCATTGACATATGGGCATCCAGTTCAAAAGGACCATGCCGGGGCCTGAGGACATGCACCGCACACAGCACAAGGAAAGAGCACTGCAGCCTGGCAGCCGACCTTGTGCATGCAGTTCGGCTTCCGTAGAAGGAAAGCGATGCCAAAGGACATCTGCTCTCACACGCAGCCACCACTGATACCTGAAACTTTCAGACTGCGCAAGCCTGAAACGGACAGCTCAGTTTGCCTTTCCTCTCTCACTGCACACATGTGACTCTAAAGCCAAGAAGGCTTGTAAGCTTGTCAACAGCAGCTGGGCTTCAGGCGAAATGCCGGCCTAAGCAACACGTGTGTGTCACTTCAAGCGGTTCGTCTGCAGTGAAGCGTGTACACACTGTATATTGCCTCCATGCGCTGCTTCATGATTTTTCCACAGTAGCCCAATAGCCTCACAGCTCAAGCAGTGCAAATGCCACAGAGTTTAACCTGATCCAAAACACGAGCCTGAGTTGCAGAATGATCTTTTCACGGTCCTCGGCCGAAAGCTGCTGCACTAGCAAGCAAGAACCTGCTGCTACGAAACAAGTTACAAGGAATGCTAAATGCAGGCAGCAAGACTGGGATGCAGGCCCAACATAGCCTCAAGCTACCGCAAAGCCCATGCTGTGAGTATCTTTGAACGTCCACTGCTGGGCTTCGCACCCCGGACCTTCCCTCAGCCATGTCGTTTCAGCAGCTGAAAATGGCCGGTCCTCGTTTGCACCGCGCGGAAGAAAAAGACATGCGACAATCAAACTGCAGAGACACCGGCCGGAATGCAATGTAGCTCTGTGGCATTTGGCAAGAGACCTTGCGGATATCCACATTCAAAATGTCGTTGGTGACAGAGCGCTCAAGCTGTTTTGAAAGAAACAAAGGTCCGCTCTTGAAGCCCTCTGGCAGTCCTGTGCATTGTCATGAGGTCCAACGGTTGCAGGCATGCGGTAACCAACACTTAGACCGGCTTGATCTTTGTAGTTACGGCTGCAAGGCCACAAGTCATGGACACCGTGTCATCCGACCCAAGTCCACACAAAAGCACTACGCACTTGGCAGACATCTCGTAATGTCCCAGATCGCGCCTCACCATCAGGCACAACAACGAACAAATCGGCTCTCGGCTCGCCGAAAACCGGCAAAACCTCGAATTGGCAGGTCCATTCAACATGCAATGTCATTGAATGCAAACCTGTACACCACATGGATTCGACTAAGAGCCAGACTCGATGAAGTAGGAACCAAAGCTCATGCGGGGAACAAACCTAAAGCTTCACTACCATTGAACACATGATGGTTCAGACGACGAAAGCGCAGCAGCAACAACAACAATCATCAAATCATGCTGAATCACAAGGGCGACAACCTGAGATTCAGACTCCACGAAATTGTCCGCTCAGACACACGGCTGCCGTAGCTGTACAGAAGCGCAACGAGACAAAAGCATCATGACAACACTTGTCGATGAACTGTGTTTTCAAGGGTTTTGAAGATATCTGCAGCGATTGACTATTTTCCCTAGCTCAACAACGGCAAGTTGATGCAAGCTTGGACCTGCCTCTTGAAGCTGCCAGACTCGTCGGTGTCATCTATGGCAGGAAAGTCGGCAATGCCACACATTGATGGTGATGTTGGCAGCCCGCCGCATTGCTTTGATGGGGAGCTGCAACTTTGCTGTGTAATTGTGCCACATTTCCTGCTTTCTGCGACCAAAGACCTGCAAAAATGATAAGTTTATCAGATAAACTGTAAGCTGCACGACCATCCCATCCGAGCCGTTGTGATATTTGCTGTTGTCGCGGGACAGGCAGGGATGAAACAGCAAAATCACTACGTCACCTGTGTGCCATTAATCCAAAAAAATTCATGGTTTTCGTTCATATTTTGCGAAAAGACAGAGAAACATAACCGATGAGGTTTTCCTCCAGAATCATGATCTGCAAATACCGTTTGATTGCTTCCCAGCTCCGATAACAAGACCTCAAACAAGATAAACACCCTGTCAATGTAAACGGATGCAAGACTGCAAACACATCAAAAAAACTGTCATCATTTGAAAAACAGGTGTCGGGGCCGAGTGGTTTTTGCCCTTTTTGAAGGGTTTCAAAAGCTCGAAGAGCTTTCAAGAAAGTTTCTTTCAGGGAGCAAAGCCACCATGACTTCAATCTCTTGAAACAAAACACACCCAAGAACAAACCATACGCGGCGTCAAGCTGCTGTCTGACCTTCTATCTACCGAACATACTCTGGCAGGCTCTGCTCGAGTGAAACGTCTTGAAACTGTTTACATCGTCAGCTGGACACACAGAAGCTCAATGTGGAAAACGCTCGTTTGCTTCCGGCTGTTGTGCGCACAATGAAACTCTGATAGCGTTAAAGCTGCCGCTTCGGTGGCAGGCTGAGCCTAAGGTGGTGTAACCAGGAATTAGTGTTGCTTCATCTAATTCACCACAACAGTGACCTAGCTCACTGCTACCCGATCTAAGCACAGCACTTGCAACAAAAAATGACCATCCAAAACTTGCGTCGCAAATAAAACGAAACTGAGTGCCCGTGTAAAAGGCAGAGTTAGAAAATCTCTTTGTCCGGCCTTTCAAGCTGCCTTCGCAGTAAAAGCCGCAGCAGTCTTGTCTGACAGCAGAGCGGAATTGAATGCCGATCACCAAGCCGAAAGTTTTTTCTCGCGCAGAACTTTCAATTCGTCGTTGCTTCCAATTCTCAAAACCCAATTTTCCAAATCCAAACTCCAAAACTCCACTCCAATTCCAAAATAAAAAACCTGATCTCAATGCCCACTAAAGTCAAAAACACCCAAACGAACCCAAACCCAAATTCCAAAACTCGAGCCTCTTGTCCAAACCTAAAAAAATCTAAACACAAACTCAAACCCCCAAATCTGAATCCTGATTCCCAACTCCCAATCTCTCATCAACAAACCAAACTGCAAAACCAATAAAAACCAAAAGAATTAAATTTCATCAAATTCCAATTTTAAGGTTTACAGAGCGAGCATCATGGATTCTGTTGTGCGTCAGGACGCTTGGAAAAAGGCGCAGCTGCAAGAAGCGAGGTTCTCTGTGTTTTTAGAACTTGGTTGGCGCAAGGACTTGGTCAAGAGTCTCAATACCTTGAATTCCAGGTTGAGGGAAACCACACCTTGCACCCATCTGCTGGTGACCACACTTGGAAAGAACCAATTGTGGAACTCATCGCATTGGTCGATTGGAACTGGGTCCTTGACCGGAATAATGATGGAGGTCCCTGTCGGGATGATTCTTGTCGATGGCGCAAGTGATCACAAAAGTGATTTCACTCCAAAGCCGGCAGAAGTGGCTGGGTGGCTGATGCATGGCAGGATGGAGAGCTGGATGGAGGGGCAGAATATATGGGAGAAAGGGGTTATTGAAGCAAGGAGCAAAATAAGTCAGAAACGACCCAAAAGCGGCCTCTTCGAGTCAGAGAGACTTCGCGGTCACTACGTGGTCACGACGCAGTCACTACGCGGTCACTACGCGGTCACTATGCGGTCACTACGCGGTCACTACGCGGTCACTACGGTCACTACGCGGTCACTACGCGGTCACTACGGTCACTACGCGGTCACTAGGTCA